TTGGAGATGAACTAGCCTGTTGACTAAAAATCTCCTTAATAAAGCTTAAAAAAAAACTTTGGTTACATACGACCAAAAATGATTTCAGACGGTCAGAAAGAACTAACCAGCGGCCAGTACACTTTTACCTACTTTTGACTTGTTTTTCTCCTTATTATGTTGTCGAAAACGGAGAAGTGTGGGAATCCAACGTTGAGTATAATCGAAGACAACAAATCAAGAATACTGGCAACTCTTCCATTTTCTCATACGAACGCTATGAGACAGGTACAATCGCGTCATCTGCCGCTCAATGGTAAATGCTTCGAACGATTGCATTTCAAATGAAAATGTACCATTTTTTTTTAAAATAGTGTTTCAGAAAATCTAGACCGCTTTTATTTAATATAATCTTATAATGTAAGGGTATTTTATTATGTTTACTAATTACTTAGAATGTATACTACTGAAACATAAATATCTGAAGATGCCACATTGTTTTTTTTTTAACAAACGATACTCCCTTAGGTCAGTCAGTAAAGGCGCAGCTACGAAGCGAGTCCATGCTGGAAGCAACTCGGTTCAATCAACAATCAATACGAAACTAACGATTTTAAATTGGTTCACTACTTGACTAGCCTATTGGTCCCAAGCAAACGATTAACGTTCCCCATTCTAGTCAAAATTCTAGTACTACACAATGTTTGTTTTGATTCGCTATGAAAATTTGACAGATAAAATGAAGGGTTAGTGGATTTTCCTATGTTTCGAGGGGTGAATCGATTAGCTTGGGACCGAAGAGAGTACCAGAGCTGAGCCAAAAAGTTGAGCACGTTTCTTCGGGACCTACACAGCAAAAAAAAAATGTAATATCGATCAATGTAATTCAAGCTGATGTATGAAATAATGATGTGATAGCAAAAAGCAGATACAATATTACATCAATGGATGTAATTTTGTTCGCAAAATCGATGTACATCGTGCAACGTTATATTACACAACCGATGGATTGACCTGGTTGCAGCAGTTTGGATGTAATATTCAACAACTTTTTTTTCTGTGTACTAGTCTTAGAGTTACCTCTATGGTTCAATTCCCGTCCGGTCTATTAGTTTTTTGGGTTGGACTTCCTTGGCCATAAGATGGCATAGAAAGCTCTCAATTAAAATGTGCTAGTGCTTCAAGTATCACTAAGTTGAGAGCAGGTAAAAAGCTAATATGCTATAAGCAATAAGCTTGAAATGCCATGTATGTGTGTCCCAGAATGTCTAAGCACGACTTTGGAACACCCCTGCTTGTTGCAGATGACGGTTAAACAGCTGATTATAACGCTGAATCATTGTTTACATTTCGACCAACAGTTTCGTGTATCGCAAGTGTCGGTTCTTTACATTTCTCCAGAAAAGCGCAAACAGATCGTGCACAAATGGTGTACTATCCCCAACACTCTGAGTCAATTAGCGAAATTGGAAGGTGTAAGCATCGGAGGCGTTCGAAACGCGATTCGGAAGTATGGTGATCAAGCAACTTTCCATGACAAGCGAATATCTGAACGTAAACCGAACCCTGTTGATCGAAATCTGGACCGGAAAATCGTGCAAGCTTTCACTCGCAAGAAAAGTGCATCGATTCGTCTGTTACCCATGATCCGCAAACACGACGCCTCAGTACCATAGCGATAACTCTAAGACCAGAAGGTTCCGAAGAAACGTGCTCAACTTGTGGCTCAGCTCTGGTACTCTCTGAGCCAATTTAAATCACCCTATAGTAGTAACAAAAATGTAATTTTTAAGCAATGAAAACAGTTTTTTTAATTGTCGCGAATTAGTATTTGAAGTCGTGGATTTTTTTTTTGAGGAATCGTGGATTTTGCGGATTAAATTTAGAAAATCTTGTAACTGCCCTGCAAATGTTTGCTATAGAAAATTGTTGTCAGATTGTTTTCAAGCTTATCAGTATCAAAAGTTTAAATAAATCGGTATTTATCGGTATTTACTAGTAACTCTATATACAGAGATTCGCATAAAAAATTATCACACGATTTGGCAACGTGATTTGTTTTGTTTACAAAAGCTGGCAACACTTGCCGCGGAGCAAAATGTTCCAGCTATGTGCATGACTTTATCTTTCTCTACGCTACGAGTTTGTTTGTTTACGTTGTTTTAATTCTCAGTGAACTAGTGAACTATTTTTGCCAAGTTTTGCCCTAGCTGCGGTCGTGGAAGTGCAACGAAGTGTAACAATGTGAGTTTTTTTTTTCGGTTTCCGAAAATCGCTGAACTTCGAAAAAAAAAATGGCTGGAGTTTTGCGGACTACCTTCAGATTTTTCCCTAGTGGATTCTAAGTTGGAAAAATGTCCGGGGAACTTGCATGAAAAATATTGAGCAACGTCTGGAGAAAAAAAAAAACTTTAGTAAAACAATCGGATGACGCATCAAGAGTAAGCCAGAAAGGTTCCGGAAATCTGAAGAAAAATTCAGGAGTAGCCACTGCCAGGGGAACCAGAAAAGGCTCCGTAAAACCTTCCAATCGATAAACTTCCAGAGGAAAAGCAGGAAAAAATAAAAGAAAAATCTGGGAGAATTCGATGGATACTTCCGGTAGAAGTTTAAAGTAACTTCCTGGAGATGCAAGAAATTCCTGTAGACGCTGGAAGAAACTTCCTAAGGTAGTTTGAAGGAAACTTCTGGAGAAAATCGGAAGCTTCTACTGGTGGATGCCAGAGGGTTTACAGGAAAGAAACTTCTTCGAAAAGTTGGGGAAAAAATCAGGGAGAAATAGATTTCTGGAGGATGTCGAATGAATTTTCCGGTGTAAATCGGTAGAAACTTCTAAGGATAGTTAGCAGAATATTCTGGAAGAAGTTTAAAAAAACTGGCGGGAGAAGACGGTAGATCCATTCGAGCGAAGCTAGAAGAAGCGAAATCGAAATGAATTTCTGGAAGGAATCGAAAAATAAGTTACGGGGTAGGGAAAAACAACAAAATTCCAAAAGAAGATTAAGGAAAGTTCAGGAAGTTGAAAAATGATCATTCTGATGGACCTATTTGATCACTGGATGAAAGTATTTCGCGATTCCGAATTACGCCGTTTTTAGCCACCCAGGAATCGAGAAACAGAGGATTCCTGGGTAATTAAAAAATGCAAGGAAATTTATAATATAGTTTTCTCTGACATTTTAGCGAGGGCAGGCAATTATGGCAAATCTGCATACAATCTCAAAAATCGGTATTCTGATGAACCTTATTTATCGTATATCGGTATCAAGTTCGGAAATCGCTATAAATACCGATAAATCGGTATATCTGCCAACGCTGATTTGTAGGTTAATATACTACATTTGTTTCTTGAAAAACAAAATAAGAATGCTTTGTTTAACATCTATGAGTGATGGTTTCTAATTTGAACATAGTTTAAGCATAGAGGTAACTCTAAGAATAGAAGGTCCCGAAGAAACGTGCTCAACTTTTTGGCTCAGCTCTGGTACTCTCTTCGGTCCCAAGCTAATCGATGCACCCCTCGAAACATAGGAAAATCCACGAACCTCCCATTTGATCTGTCAAACTTTCATAGCGAATCAAAACAAACATAGTGTAGTACTAGAATTTCGACTAGAATGGGGTACGTTAATCGATTTGCTTGCGACCAATAGGCTAGTCAAGTAGTGAGCCAATTTAAAGTCGTTAGTTTCCACCGGTTGCTACTAGTGAGTATATGAGATATTCTCAAATTTGAGTCAATTGAACTTAATTTTATGTAGAAAATACTCACGAGTAAGTAATTATTTTTGTCGTAGTCAAATGTAAACTACTATAAGCGGTTTACTGTAAATTAGCTTATTGAACGGAACATGGGAGACGAGTGAAAACTTAATTTTGGGTAATTTTTCGGTTCCATGCTGTGTAAAACCTCAAAAATCTACAGGAAAATGAGGAAAATTGACGAAAATTTTACGCAGCCTAGGAGTAGTACCAATAGACTGAGAGAATCCAGGCTTTATTTTTCTCATATTCGAGAAGTTTTTCCTGGACAATCCTGGAAAATCCCTCATAGATCACATAAAATGCAGGAACTCAGCGATGAGTAAATTTGCCTCATGTTTTTCCAGGTTTGTCTTGGAATAAAATCCTGAGCATGAGAAAAATAAAGACTGGATTCACTCTATTGGTTATATTCCTAGACTGAGTAAAATTTTCGTCAGTATTCCCCATTTACCGGTAGATTTTTGAGGTTTTCCACAGGAAAGCATGAGGCAAATTTACGCGTCTCTGAGCTGCACTTTCTGCGATTATGAGTCAACAAAACTCAAATTTGGGTCGTTTTCATTCGTATAGGATATTTTTACCGGGTTATGTCTGAATGTTCATTAAAGACACTAAAAAACGCATGCCGCCCCGTCGTTCTCTATTCGGATTCGTTCAATAATTCTAGACAAGCGATTCAAAAGGCCCTACCTGATATGATCGATCCTTTTCATCGACTTTCTCTTTCGTTAATAACTCACTCAGCTGCAATACATTCCCTTTTATATTTGATGTTCTGGATGCTAGATGAGAATCTCCTTTTTGAAACTATGTTGCAAAAATACCTCGAAATCTTTTTGTATAGCCGTGGTTATCAAAAGAGAAAGTCGATTAAGAGAACCGATCAAAGCAGATAGGACCTTTTGAAACATAATCGAGAATTGTACACTCCGAAACGGACCCCTCAGCAATTTCTTTCGAAGAATGGTTCATGTCTCGTCTAAACGTGCCGCTCACTAGCGCCGATCGTTCATACCGCGTCCGATCCATAAACCACCTCTTCCACCTTTCTCACTCGCTCCTACATCATCCAAGGGCCCTGTTTTGCTTCCGTTCTCCCTCACGCTGCCGCACTTGAAAACCGCCCGCGTTTGTGTTGGTAAGTAAACACACGAAAACGCTCGTCGGCCGCCCGCTGACTGCGATGAAACGAACGGTGCTTGTATTAGGTATAGCAGCAGAAAAGAAGCAGCATGAGCTTGTGACGATATCCAACCGATATGTGTGCGAAGAAGCGAAGTAGCAGCAGCAGCAGAGCAGAGCGCAAGAGAGGAAAATTTTTCAAAATGGCCAACTTTTGCGGAGCCGTGGTCGAAACGCGAGTGCTTGTCGCGCGTATTGTTGCGTAAAAACGGTACGATTTCAATCCGGAAAACGGTTCCGGATCGGGTTCTGGGTGTCGCGGATCGATTCGACCACCGGACGTCCGGGTGCGAGTGCGGGCGGGCGTGAAAATCGAGCCGGAAGTGCGTTGTCCGCTGAGTGTGTGTGGTGTTGTGGTCTGTGTATGCAGAAAATCCGTGAGCGTTTTCTTGTTCCGAATATTCCCAACAGCAGCAGCGGCAGCCGAAGGCTAGTGGCCGCGGTTTGGAAGTTGGAAGCAGGAAGAAGAAAAGAAGCGAAAAAAGAGGCACCAAACCAGCCGAGGAGGAGAAGATCAAAGGCAGAAAAGCGAAGAAGAAAATAGTGCGAGAAAGCGCACACAAAATGTTAATAATTGTGAGAGAATATTATTTCAGTGGTTTTTGAGATTATTATTAGCAGTATATATCATAAATGCTATTCTTCGTTGTGGAAGCAGTTCCGACGAGAAAAAGGGATTTCACCAGCAGGATTATGAGAAAGGCGGAACGGGAATGAATCCAGTGCAGCAAGGTGAGCATAATCGGCCATCGCCGGAAGGTGTTGAAAAAACATTCAATTTCACCGCGAGAATCAGTCAGTGGGATTTGGCTGTGACCTCACCGGAGTCCTTTTTTTTCTCCATTGGTTGCTGGTTTCCGGATTGAGGTTTGAGTTTGGCACCGATTACCACCGAAAACACCAGTGACATCGTCCCCTCCCAGCACAATGGGAAAAGTGGCAGTCGCTGTCAAAATAAGAGGAAAATTATTTGTAGATCCGTCCGACCTTCTCGTGTTCGTCCTTCCGTTTGCTGTGTGCGTATGGGTTTTGTGTACCTTTTTTTGGCACGGAACTAGGGTGGGCCTAAAGAAGTGTTTTTTTTTTATCTTTTAGTGCATCAAAGTCAGTCCTTGAGCAGAATTTGAAAATGAAATGCTTTGAAACTGCCCCCTAGATTAATTGTATGAATATGGAAAATTTTGTTACGAGTGTTACAATTTAAGTGACCTTCATGCATAATTTATAACCGTATTAAACTGTGGACAATGCCACCGAACCGACTATATGCGACTTTATAGCTATGTCAGTAAGATAACTGAGACTAATTTTAGCTATCAGTATCTAATTCTTATCAGTCTAGGTACAGCAAGCTGGTTTTACGTGTCACTGGTAGGAACCGGCAAATTTTGCCAGTTGAAGATTGTTCTAATCATGGGCAATATTTTGCCAGGAGATGTTCGAAGGGCTTTTAGGCGTCGATTCAGTTGAAGCTTAAGGATCTTAAAAGTTTACTCAGCAAACAAGTTAAGGACTAACAAAGGTAAATTTATAGAACAAACCGAAGTTTCGATGACTTTTTGTTGTATTTGAAGGGGTTGGGTTTGGGGAATTTCGGAAATCGATGCGGGGGGTTTACTTTCAGATTATGATGCGAAGACTGTCGGATAGAGAAGTTCTGGGAACTTATAGCAGAAGTTCAGATAATTGTTAAGAGATGTTCAAGAAAGTTCTAAACTTGCCGAAGAAAGAAGCTCCTCTGAAATCCGCTTCGCCGTCTACGGGAAATTGACAACTACTATGTGGTCAATTCAACGCGTTATTTCCGGCGGTGAAGCTGTCAAAGATTCGTCGTCCTGCGTTTGGAGGCAAGAACACGAGTTTTGTAGTTTGATTCACGACCACAAGGAGCTAACCTCTACAAAGAGTACGGAAACAAGAAGCTGATCGTGAAGGCTCAGCAGCGTAGCTTTTCGCCGTTGAAGGACCTTGACCTTGAGAAAAAAAACGATGGTTTGATCCACTTGATAAGCGAATTCGAGACTGTCTATGAGATGACGGTCAGGTGGAGTACCTACCATTCTACTATATCTGGATGCAGTGGGAGACTCGTCACAACTCGAAGGAAGATCCGATCGTATCCAAATTTAATCACGTTCCTGGTCGGTACGATTAACGGACATCGAGGCGTTCTGTGTGTCACGCAAATAGTAGTTCTGCAACAAATTTTTGTGTACCAAATTCCAGCGAATGCAGATTCCTGTTCCAGTACGTAATCCCAGGCTGTCTTCAAGCGAAAGTCACTTTCATCAGAAGCAGGCTTGGAAATGCTCATTACAGCTAAAATGTTGCTTTTAGAGGGTCACAATTTGCTTTTTTAGTTGTAATGAGTAATCGCGATGAGTGAGTAATTTTCGTTATAGTTATTCGCTAATTGTGACACACTGGAAGCGAAATTGACAGGTTTATGTACCATACACAAACTTTACCTCCTCTTCTCCAAAAGAAGCATTTTAGCTGTAATGAGTCAGCTAGATCCTATCGCATTATCGCAACTATCGCATTCAAATCCTTTAGCACAAAACGGAAAACAGTCGCAATCTTTGCCATCAAACCCGAACCATTAAACCCAACAAAACATTGAGTAATTCCAGGAACATCTAGGAGAAGTTCATGGAACATGCAAGAGAAAATGAAGGCACTTTCAAAAAAAGTTCAAGGAACTTCTTGGAGACGTTTAAGGAACTTGCAGGATAGGTAAAAGAACATAAAGGAGCTTGCGGAAGAACTTCCAGACAAATTTCATGGAACACAGGCGAAGTTTAAAGAACTTACAAAAGAGGTTCAAAGAACTTCCAGGCAAACTTCAAGGACCTTACAGAGTGGGACGATTCTAACTACTGCTGGAATGTTTGTGTTTTGCTGTTGCTAGATGCGCCATGCTGAGTAGATAGGAAGAAGATTTCCTGCAAAAATATGATGCGCGAAGCAAGTAGATGCGAGAAATGAAAGAAGATTTTTCGATGAAATGAGATTTAGATGTGTCTCCCCCCTCGGAACATACAGGATACGTTCAAGTAACCTGCATGCAAATTTCAATGAGATTTCAGGAAAATTTTAAGAAGCTTGTAGAAAAAGTTCAAGAAACTTCCAGGAGAAGTTCGAGGAACATTTCAAGGAACTTACAAAATAAGTTTGAGGAATTTACAGAAGAAGTTCAAGCAACCTGCATATAATTTTCAAGTAACTTTCAGGCAAAGTTTACGAAGTTTGCTGATGAAGTTCAAGAAACTTCCAGGAGAAGTTTGTGGATCTTGCAGGAATATTTCAAGGAACTTACAAAAGAAGTTTACGTAAGTTACAGAAGAAGTTCAAGGAACTTGCAGGAGAAGTTCGTGAAACTTCCAGGAAAATTTCAATGGACCTACAAGTTCAAAGAACTTACAGGAGAAGTTCAAGGAACTTCCAGGATAATTTACAGAAGCGTTTTAACTAATTTATAAAATAAACTGAAGGATTTTGCGTCGAACTTGCAGTAGAAAATCAAGGAACTTGCATTAGAAGTGCAAGGAATTTTCAGGCAAAGTTTAAGAAGTTTGCAGAAGTTCAAGAAATTTCCAGGGAACTTACAGAAAAATTTCAATGAACTTACAAAAGAAGTTTAGGTAATTTACAGAAGAAGTTCAAGGAACTTGTAGAAGTTCAATGTACTTCCAAGATAATCTAAAAAAAAACTTACAGGAGAATTTTAATAAATTTGCAGCAGAAGCCCAAAAAATATGCAAGAGAATCTCAAGGAACTTCCAAGAGTCGTTCAAGGAAATTACTGGAGAAGTATGTGAAACTTCTAGAAGTACTTGAAAGAACTTACAAAAGAAGTTCTTTGGAAAATTTTCAGTACTTACAAGAAAGGTACATTAATTTGTACAATAAGTTCAAGGAACCTGCGAGAGCAGGTCGAGAAACTTGCAGAATAAGATCAAAGAACTTCCAAGAGAAGCTCAAGGAACTTACAAGTGATTTGTTTTTGTAAGGGATTTTAACCAAAGCGGTCATCCCCAAAACATACAGGCGAAGTTTATGGAACTTACAGGAGAAATTCAAGGCAACAGAAGTTCATGAAATTGACAGTTGCTATCCATTTTCTTAACCGATCAGACGTATAATACCATTCTCGGATTACTTTTGTGTGATGCGCGTGAGTTTTGTTGCCCATGGCTATAGCGAGATAACTGTGTCGTTTTGGATACATCTATTCTACTTAAGCTGCCGTGTATTTAGGAAATCAAACGATTTCTAGAAAATTAACTGCCACTTGATATGTTACAGGTGAAATGTATCCAGTCACACAATGTGAAAAACGTTGTGTACCTGGATATGCAAAGCAACGAAGTAGCAAGAAGAATCATCTGAAGCATTTCATGGACTATAAGGGAAAAAAGATCTCGATTCCAATTTATGTCGAAAGCAGTGCTGTCGACGTACGTTTGCATGATCTCCCAGATGGCATGAAGAATGTCATATGAATGTCGACCATAAAGGGTGATACGGTCAAAATTTGGTCAAGGGAAAACGCGTGTAAATCGGTGAAATCGTTTATTTAAAAAATCAAATTAAACTTCTTTTTCAAGTTCAATTAGTATAAAATTCAGGAAAAATATTCAGTTAGGCTTCCGCTTTTCCAAATCCGAATTGCCGGGCCTTACGCTTGACCCCTGCCATCAGATTTTGTACAGCCACCTTGTCCACCTTCTTCGCCGCAGAAAGCCAGTTTGCCTTGAACTGCTGCTCGCCCTTAGCAGTTTTTTTTGGTCTTCTTTACGTTCCGCTTGACAATAGCCCAGTACCCAACAAACAATTTTAGCTGCAGATTAGCTTATACAGCCAAAATTTGCCTTATGCAGCTAATTTTTGCCTGTATAAGCTAAGCTGCAGCTAAAATTGTTCGTTGGGTATTTCTCAATTGGGCGGAGCTCTGGCGTGTTGGGAGGGTTCTTGTCCTTGGGAACCACCTGCACGTTGTTGGCGGCGTACCACTCCATGGCCTTTTTACCGTAATGGCAAGATGCCAAATCCGGCCAAAACAGTACGGAACAACCGTGTTTCTTCAGGAAAGGCAGCAGACGTTTATTCAAACACTCTTTCACGTAAATTTCTTGGTTGACAGTCCCGGAAGCTATGAAAATGCTGCTTTTCAAGCCACAGGTACAGATGGCTTGCCAAACCAGATATTTCTTTGCGAACTTTGACAGTTTCATGTGCTTGAAAACATCTGCTACCTTTCCCCTTCCTTTTGCCGTATAAAACTCCTGTCCCGGAAGCTGCTTGTAGTCGGCTTTGACGTAGGTTTCGTCGTCCATTACCACGCAGTCAAACTTCGTCAGCATCGTCGTGTACAGCCTCCGGGATCGCGCTTTGGCCGTCGTATTTTGTTTATCATCGCGATTTGGAGTCACTACCTTCTTGTAAGTCGATAGTCCGGCTCGTTTTTTGGCTCGATGCACGGTTGTAGACGATACACCCAGCTTATTTGCGGCATCTCGGAGAGAGAGGTTAGGGTTTCGCTTGAAACTACCGGCAACTCTCTTTGTCGTCTCAGCGGCTTCCGGTTTTCGATTTCCCCCCGATCCAGACTTCCTGGCTGTCGACAAACGTTCCCCAAACACTTTAATTACATTTGTAACGGTTGATTTGGCAACTTTTAGCGATTTTGCCAACTTTGCGTGCGAGTAGCTCGGATTTTCGCGATGCGC